TTACTTTTAGAATACTGTCATTCATAGTAACTGTTACTGCTCATAATTTAAAAAAAAATGGCCAAGGATAAATTCTCCTTTTCTTACAAAATGATTCTACTTCCTTCCAGCCAGTGACCTGAGTTTGAGGGATTTGGCTTCAGCCAAGGGTAGCAACAGAGAGTCCTTGTGTTTCAGCAGGTGGGGAGGCAAAGCTGCAATCACAGAGCTGCCCCCCCACCCCCAAGTCACAGACGGCGATTAAAGCAATGATTCTCTCTCTCTCTCTCTCTCTCTCTCTCTCTCTTTTTTTTTTTTTTGACAGGCAGAGTGGACAGTGAGAGAGAGAGATAGAGAGAAAGGTCTTCCTTTGCCGTTGGTTCACCCTCCAATGGCCGCACCGCGCTGATCCGAAGGCAGGAGCCAGGTGCTTCTCCTGGTCTCCCATGCAGGTGCAGGGCCCAAGCACTTGGGCCATCCTCCACTGCCCTCCCTGGCCACAGCAGAGAGCTGGCCTGGAAGAGGGGCAACCGGGACAGAATCCGGCGCCCCAACCGGGACTAGAACCCGGTGGCCGGCGCCGCAAGGCGGAGGATTAGCCTAGTGAGCCGTGGCGCCGGCCCAGCAATGATTCTCAACCTCAAGTGCACACTGAAAAGCCCTGGGAGCTCCAGTACAGTGATCCCTGCTCACTGCTCCTCCACCCTGGTTTCTATTTATTTACCATAGGGTTCAGCCAGGACATTAGGATTTTTTTTTTAACAATCTTCACTTGTTTTGATTGGCATTCATGATTGAAAACAACTCTCAAAAGACCCAGGATCCAATTTAATATTATTTTGATATTTGGAGATAGCAGATGTGGTTTTCTGACTCCTGTGTGCATTTTACATCATGTTTTGCAATAATGAAAAATGACACTTGCAAGAGTGAAATCGTTGCCCTTGAGTACAAGAAGCTGTAGACCATGTGTGCAGTCCACTTCCCTCTCCCACTCAGACAGGAACTGAATCAGAAGGTCCACTCCCGGTTTGTAATTTCCTTACTTCCCTAGTGGGAAGGACAATGTCATTCCTTCACATGTGTCATCCCACCACACAGCACATTTTGTTCCTGCTGTTTTACAACACTCAGAATTCAAGATGTGCCGATGATAACTCTCTTCCTTCTGTCCTATCAGGGCCTGCTCTCCCCAGTTCCAGGCATGATGGCCCTGCTGACCTAGCAGATCAGAGTCGGCAGGTGAACTGTCTCACTCTAGAACAGCACTTGTCAAGGTCAATGCAAGCAGCATCACCCGAGGGTCGTGCTAAAATGCACATTCAGAGCCTGAGCTGGAAGGCAGAGGATTCTGTACTTCTACCAACTCCCACCTGATGCCTGCAGAACTGGTTCATGGGCCACACTTTGACTAACAAAGTTCTGCCGTCTCTCTACCTTTTCATTGGATGGTTTTCACAGGTAATCCACATTATGTAATGATAAAATCATGTCATTTTTAGAAAGCTTTGGTTTGGGGATTTCAAGGTAAAGCGACAGGTATAGCCTCCTGAAGTCACCTTGATTCTCTTTCTCCAAGTCTCAGTTTTCTTTCTTGAATGAGAAATAAAAAGATGGCATTTAACTCCTGTGGGCCTTTCCAACACAAGGATTCTGGTTTCTAAGTCTTGAAGCTACTTAGTAGTGGTGTGTCACCACTCTACATTTAACACTTCAACCTTTAACAGCCCCATCTAAAAACAATTTAAGTAGCTCACGACTCCCTGAAATTTCAAGGACCCTCTTCTCTTGGATAAACTTTCGACTTGCTCTAAGTATCCAATGCATGGGAGTGCGTTATCAAGGTGAAAAAAGCCTCAATTATGCTCAGCTACACAGCCTCCTAAGGCTCTCAAGGTTAGACGGACTTCCTGGACATTCCTCCAGCTGAACAGCAGCTGTGGTGCTAGATTATATTAGAAACAGATTCTTATTTGTTTCACTCATAAACATCTAGGGCATTAATCATTAGATGAGGTATCTCGGTAATTGCTTCTTGGCCTTTTGGCTGAGATCAAGTGAAGGACTCAGAGCTGTCCTCAGACTTCTCGATGACACAACCGACCTGCTGACGTGTACAGGTTATCCAGAAAATGAAATCCCCCAGGGACGTGAGCCGAGGGGACTGTACTCTTGAATTAGCAAGCCCACATCCGAACCTTCTTCTCCTTCTCTCCTGCAAACACCCAGCTCCTTTGAGGCTCACGGCACCTCACGACACCTCTCACTGCCCTCACTGCTCTCACCCACTTATGTCTAGCTGATTCCTGGAGCCCCCAGCCCCCAGTACACACATGATCATCCTTTCTGCCCCAGTAGCTGTCTGCTTTCCCCAGAATTTCATCATTTCCGGGGAAGAACCATTCAACTTCACGGCCTCTTGTTTCCTTGACTCATTCATCAAAGGCGCTGAATCTTTGCCTACACCCCGCCTCACTCACTCACTCACTGCCTATTATCTCCAAGCATTATCCCCTAGCCTCCTAATAATCTTAGTGTGAACACTCAGATAGAGAATTCTAGACAGAAGAAATCCGACCTGTTGACATCTCGTCCCATTACTTTTTCACTCTGCGTTCACCTGCTTCTGGTTTCTCTATACTCAGTCTAGGTTTCATAGTGGGTGTGCAGCCAGTGCCCTGGACAGATCTCCACTCTGTTACTCTCCCTGATATTCACCTGGCAAAAGCCTAGTTCTGGAAGAGGCCAGCCAGCCATTGTCCCTGTCTCTGTACCCAGGTAGGTGAAGGCTGCTGAAGACAAGTCAAACTTCTGAGCTCATTAGTTTTACCCTAAACCCACACTCGTCAACTTCACCTATCAAGGGCCATCTCTCTGCTTCTGCCCTGGAAGCCAGGCCTTCTCTCCCTGCAGGGGGCTCTGGTCATGCCCCCTCTCAGTGAGAGCTCTAACATAAGAGGTCCAAACCTGCACTCTTTTTCCACCCAGCCCTATTTCCACTCACCACAATTTCCTCATCTCAGGCACTCAAGTCAGAGTCTGGGAGCCGGTCTCACGCCCTTGCTTCCCCCACCCTTGACATAAAATCCCACAGCAACTCCTGTCCTCTACATTTCTTAACTCCCTCTTCCCTGACACCTGCCTGGTCCGGTGTCTCACCTAACAAACACCTCCTAACAGGGTGGCCTACCTTCTCCTTCACCCTTTTCAAAGCCATTCTCCACCCAGCATCTAAGCCAGTCCTCAAGCAGACACTGTCACCAAAGGGCTCTCTCTTCCTCCTTGTGCTCAGACCCAGAGCCACCTTCCTGACCTGGTGTGAAAGGCCCTCACCGGGCCGGCCTCTCTCACCTCTGCATGTTCTCACTCTGCTGTCCAGCCACTGCCTCCCTTTCTAGAAGCAGAAAAGACCCATCCGCTTCCTGCCTTGGGAACTTTGCGTATGGTAGTCTCTCTCTGCAGTAGATTTACCCCAGTTGTTTTTTCCTTCTCTTGTCACTCCTTGTTAAATTTCCTGGATACTTATTTTATGGGACTGTTTCCTATCTCTCCCATCAGACCACAAGCTCCCTGAGAGCAGAGCCATGTCCGTCACCGCCTCTGCACTGTGTGGTACACAGTGACTAAGCATGCAACAAACATCCACTCTTACTCTTACTGAATGCATACAAGAAATGTCAGGACCGAAAGAGATGCAGTAGGCCTCTAGATCAGACCTCTCTTTGCTATCAAGACAGGCGGACCCAAAGGGAGTCAGTGATAGGTCAATGCCATGGTTGTTGCCTGTGCAAAGAATAAATGCAGCTCCTCACGTCCTGTGAATTTCACTGCATCCAGGGCCTAGTCTTTCAAAGTTTTGGTGTGTCCTCTTTCTCTTCTATATTATCTGTGATCCTTTACAAATTTGCCTTCATCTGTGCTGTTTGTCCTTCAGAAATAAAAAACAGTGGTGCTCATTCACCGTAAGGGCATTTTCCATGGCACCAGAATGGTGAGAAGTGATCTGGATAAAGCTTTTTCATCTCCTTGCACAATTAGCTCCATCTATCATTATTGATAAACGGAGCAGCTAGGAGCAGAACCTGCAGCCACCCCTAAGCAGAATACGCAATTGCTCTTACTTTCTAAAAATCCAGGAGGGGTGTTTTCCTTCTTTAAATGGCCTCTATGCTTAGAAGCAGCAGAGGGAGAGATGGAGGAGGAGAAAACACGCAGGTTAGAGAAAGAAAGGAACTGATCAGTGAAATGAAGAGACGATAAGGGGTTGGAGAGGCAGGGAGGTGGCGGGTGCGCAGCAGGGGCTGCACACAGGATCCGACCCTAATTTAAGTCAGGAGCCTGGGGAGGGGGCAGGCGCCTGGACCCCACTTCTCCCAAGGTGATGCGCAAGCCTTCACCTTGGCCCCGAATAAGTTCTCCTACCTACAAAACTATGCGCCACGGCGTGGGGGAGAGACAAGAGATGGCAATTCCTAAAGGAAATCCTCGCAGATCGCTCTCCGCTCTATTTTTATAAGAGCAACATTTTTTTTTTTTAGGGCAGAATTTTCAACAAGTTTTGGCTGAAGCTGAACGCAGAGCGCAACGACAATCGAGAACAGTCCACGAAGATGCCGATGACTTCCTGACACAAAATGGCCTAGACGCGCCACGCCGACATCCCCCGGGTGATCCACGAGGTGACCCCGGCCCGTCCTCAGGGAGGCAGGGGGACGCGCCTGCCCGCTCCCTCCCGGGCACGTCCTACCTGGGACGGCTGCTCCCGGCTTCCTTTCTCCTGGGCCCACCCTCAGGACTTCCAGGCAGCTCGAGGAAGACCCAGAGGACTGGGGAGTGGACTGCGTGCCACGGCCACCCCACCGCACCGTCCCCACCGCCCCCGGCAGGGCGCCCGGGCGGCCAGGGGGCAGCGGCTGCGCGGGGCTGACGGCCGCACCGGGCGCGGGATCCCGCGGGGGCCCCTGGGGCTGGACCCGCAACTCCGCGCCACCGCCTCCCGCGCTCTCCCCAGACCCGCTCACCTCCGCGCCCTCTGCGCCGTGCAGAGGCGAGCTCTGCGGCTCCTCGGGCGCGGCGCCCACTCCCTCACGGACGCGCCGGGGCTCCGGGGCCTGCACCTCGGACTGGCGGCTGCAGGCGGCTACCGCGGCGGTCTGGCTCGGGCGGCTTCCCAGCCTCCGCAGCTGGTTCGCGCGGGGCGAGCTGGAGAGCTGGCGGGCGGGCGGGCGGGAGGCCGGCGCGCCGAGGCCCGCCGCGCCGTGACGCGCCGCTAGGGGCTGCACACCGGCAGGGCGCGGGGAGGCCGGGCGCCGGCGGGGCTCGGGGCGCGCGGGCGAATCGGGGCGCTCGTGGCGCGTGCGGGCGCTGGGGAGGAAGAGTTCGAGGGCCGCGCGGCTCCGCAGTTTTGCGCGCCCTGCAAGTGGGAGCCGCGGCCACACACCAATGCTTTGGGAATACGTGGTCGCCTTTCCGCTCTAGACTAGCGGGTTATGGCGCCCCCTTCTCCATTGCCCACCTCCCCACCCACGGATCCCGACAAGCCTGCCAGAAAACTGCGCCTTTTCCCTGCCTGTGCTTTCCTGTCATCTTGACCCAGCTCCAAGCACCTTGAGGCTGGAGTGTGTCCTTGGAATGCACTGCGCAGACAAGTCCTCTGACGCGCCACGCTGTAACGCTCGCCTGGCTAGCAGGATCCCGCAGCCCGCGGGCTGGCGGCTTCAGCCTCTGCCTCTGACCTTGGCGGCGCGGCCAAGCGGGTCAGGCCGCAGCCCGGAGCCGCGGGTCCATGGCCTTGTGTGTCCAGTGGGTGTCAGCTTAGAAGTTCAGGTCTTTGATTTTCCAAGATCTTTGATTTTTAGTGCACCCGAAATTCTCATTTTTTAGGTAATTTTTTTCCCCATGACTGAGTAGACTCCCATTTCATCAGAGAAAGTTTAGAAGTTCTCCCTCCCGGTGGCTTATTAACCAGGCTCAAAACAAAAAACAAACAAAAAAACCTGAGAAGGGGGTCCTGGTTGGGTCACTGGGGCAGTGCACTTTCCCCTTGTAGCCCATGTGCCCACGAACCTTTGCAAAGGCTGCCGGGCCGTTACATCCTCCGACTGGAAGCAGGCCAGGTCGTCCAGGCTCAGTACTGCCTGGGCTCGGCGTGAGCATAAACCAAACGTTTAGTGATGTGTGTTGACCCCTGGTAAAATTATTTCACTTCAGCCACTCTCATAATGAAATGCACAGGTTTTTCTTGAGCATTTTGAAGAACTGGTGTAGAAAACTGACGAATCTTAGCAGTAAATGAAAAATGAAAAGTTTTTTCCCCCACTTTTTAAAAGGAATAGCATTGTATAACTTCCATGAAAGGTTATGAAAAGATACATCATTTTTGTCTACCCTAACACCAGAAATTATTGTATAAAGCACATGAGTAAACCATTTATTTGAAACAGTTTGGAAAGCTGTCTTAACATGGACTTTGATGATCCAAAAAATACATAAATAAACACAATACGAAGAAGAGAAACAATGAATCACCCATTTCCAGTTTCCAGAAGGAATATGTACTTTCCATACTTGAACTTTTAAAATAAGCAAATGTCCTTGACAGACAGCCCAGTGTTGCCAAACGTTGGCCAAGATTCGCTGGTGTTGATATACGATGCCGTTTGGTTCATTCCTGAACAGTGATTTCCACCATTGTTTTTTCAGTTGGAGTTTCAGAGTATAAAAATTATTTCGCCCAGCTTTTCCAGGTCACGAAGTACTCTCTGAGAAATCTCTTCAGCTCCCTGAAGTAGTAATTGATTCTGCCATGCGCAGCAATAATTTATTAAATGGATCTCTGGTGGCCTAGTGCTGCTAACACAATTTTTTCTTAGAAGTTACTGAATAACTTCAGAGTGGTAGTTCCCAAAGTGTGTAACTTTAAGCCCTTGTGCACCCATAGGTTCCTCTGGCAACTCATTTACTACAGAAAAATTTACTGAGTCCGTGTTATGCGCAGTGGCTGGAGCTCCAGGAACACTGCTGGAGGCAGAGGCAAAAGTAAGCTGCTTGGAAAGAATTTGCAAGAATTCCTCGAAGATACTCAGTAGAGGAGTGTGAGGAAGATGTACACAAACTCCCTTACACTGGGCCAATAAATGTCAGTTATGATAGGAAGGTAGATTTTGAGATAAATAGTAAGAACAATCTCTTCATTTTAGAGATTCATGATCGTATTCATGGGTTAAAGGCTTTGATAATTGAAGCAAATTTCTGTTTATTTACTTGAGAGGCAGAGGGTATGCTCCCGTTTGCTGAGTCCCTCCCCAAACGCCCGCAGGCTGAAGCTGGGAGCCCAGAACGGGATCACATCTTCCATGTGGGTGACAGGGACCCAGGTTCTTGAGCCGTCCGTCCGCACTGCCTCCCAGAGTGCACATTAACAGGAAGCTGGAACAGGAAGCGGAGCCCCGACTTGAACCCAGGCACTCCTAAGTGGATGGAGGCCTCCAAAGTGGCATCTTACCAGCTAAGCCAAACACCAGGCCCTATGAAAGCATATGAACTTACATCTGTACAAAACAGATATTTTATAACTATTGTTGTAACAATGGCGATTTCCATATGTTCACAATTCTTAATGACTGTGTAGTCCATAATATTGATAAAGCATAGCTTTCTTAACCCTAAGCTGTAGGAAAATAATTTTCTAACCCACTTACTATAAGCAACATTACTTTAATCTTATTGAACAAAGTACTTCTTGAGGTAGTAAGTGGAAGGAGTATTTCTTTGGGATATATTCTGAAACATGGGGTTATTGAGTTAAAAGAAATTATAGCTTCTTCTTATATATTCACATATTTCTTTGTGTAACAACCAAAAACCTATGAAAAATGCAGAAGTGTTTTTGTCTTTTAACTTCCTCTCATTGGCACTGCATTTTTAAATTATTTTTAGTTACTTAAGTAGAGTGAGGAAGATTTAAGATGTGTGGAATTTACCCACAGGAAAAAAAGAATTTGGGTCACTTTGGTTATTAATCCAATAGAGGCCTTAAAGCTATTTCCTTCCCAATGGGTCTCTCAATTCTTTTAAGCTAATTTTGTGGTAATCAAAAAAATTATCTTATGCTTAGAAAAATCAGTGTATAAGCATTGTTTTGCTGGGATAGGTCAGCAAAGTTGATTCAAGAACATCGTTGGAAAGAGGAGCCAAACTTTGACTAGAGCCTAAGGATGGCCATTGTTGGGCACTCCTGTAGGAAGGAGAAACTTTCCAAGCTTTCTAGAGGAATGGGATGCAGGTGTCCCAAGCAGACCCTTAACTGCTGCACCAGATGCCCACACTTGCCATTTATTTATTTATTTATTTATTTATTTTTGACAGGCAGAGTGGACAGTGAGAGAGAGAGACAGAGAGAAAGGTCTTCCTTTGCCGTTGGTTCACCCTCCAATGGCCGCCGCGCTGATCCGATGGCAGGAGCCAGGAGCCAGGTGCTTCTCCTGGTCTCCCATGCGGGTACAGGGCCCAAGCACTTGGGCCATCCTCCACTGCACTCCCGGGCCACAGCAGAGGGCTGGCCTGGAAGAGGGGCAACCGGGACAGAATCCGGCGCCCCGACCGGGACTAGAACCCGGTGTGCCGGTGCTGCAAGGTGGAGGATTAGCCTAGTGAGCCGCGGCGCCGGTTTAAGACTTTTAAAGTACAGGTATGAAAACTTTTTCAGACGAATATTTCCTTTGTTTTTTATTTTTGAAAATTACAAAGCTGTTGTTTCATGGTTTCATACCATTTCATCATCTTTTTGAAACCTGGTTTAAGACTGTAGGTTCCAGGAATAATTGAGTAGTCTCCAACATCACAAATCCTGTTGTCAGTATCTGAAACCAGCCTGAAGAAACAAACGGAACTGTTGTTTCTACAAACAAATGTTTGACCTTCATGACTGTAAAGGGATAAGACAAGATTAGTAATGGAAGAGATAATGAAACAGGAATCTATTTTAATCTGTTTTGTTATCTTTTAAATTATATTTGACCTAGTTCATTTATTTAAAAATACATTTCAATACAATTAAAATGTTTTTTAAAATGTTGGAATTTTATGATTCTAAATCCAACTATATCTGAAAAGAGACTGCTGTCTACTTCCAGACAAATGTTACAAGGACTGATTACAGTGTTTATAAATGAAAAAATGATTTGTCATGCTCAGTGTCATACACTAAGCTATTTAGATTGGAATACACAACTTAGGGCGCCAGCATTGTGGCCCAGTAAAAAAACTGCTGCCTGCAGTGCGGGCATCCTACATGGGCACCAGTTCCTGTCCTGGCTGCTCCACTTCTAATCCAGCTCTCTGCTAGTGGCCTGGAAAAAGCTGAGAAAGACAGCCCGAGTGTTTTGGCCCCTGCCACCAATGTGGGAGGCTTGGATGAAGCTCCTGGCTCCTGGCTTTGGCCTGGCCCAGCACTGGCTTTTGTAGTCATCCAGCAGATGGAAGATCTCTCTGTCTCTGTGTTACTCCCTCTCTTTTTGTAACTCTGACTTTCAAAATAAATAAATAAATTTTTTTAAAGAAATGCACTACCTAGGTTGAAATATAAAATTTAGAAGCCATGTGATAAAAATTAGAAAAAACAGAAATGAAAATTTGGTATGTTTCTGGTGGGAAAGGAATATTTAAGGTTGTATTCATGGAAACAATCTCAAAGATAAACTTTTTTTTAACGATTTTTATTTATTTATTTGAAATTTGACAGGTAGAGTTACACACAGTGAGAGAGAGACAGAGAGAAAGGTCTTCCTTCTGTTGGTTCACTCCCCAAATTGCCGTTACGGCTGGCGCTGCGCCAATCTGAAGCCAGGAGCCAGGTGCCTCCCCGCCGGTCTCCCATGCGGGTGCAGGGCCCAAGGACTTGGGCCATCCTCCACTGCCTTCCTGGGCCACGACAGAGAGCTGGACTGGAAGAGGAGCAACCGGGACTAGAACCCAGTGCCCATATGGGATATGGGATGTCAGCACCGCAGGCGGAGGATTAACCAAGTGAGCCACAAAGATAAACATTTTTAATTTTTACTTAATAATATGTAGAATTCTGCATAATTTTTTTAAAAACATAGGGAAAGTATTTGCTGTGAATTTGACAGTGTCTTATATATTCAAAACAGCTCACACAAACAGAAAAGAAGCTCCAATAAATGGGCAAAAGAATTGAATGAACATTTCAATAAAAAAGAAGAATGTATTTAGTAAACAGACAATGGGACAAATGCTAACTAGAGACATTTAATTTTTTCCTGTTTATTGATTTTAATAATCATCATCATAATAAATCACCGAAGGTTTTGCATTTACAAGACTTCCTTAAAATTTTTTATCTCAGTCAAGGAGGCAAGTAAGAGACCACCGACTTAAAGATACTAGAAGTGTTTTTCTTGAGTTTGCTTTTATTATACAATTATACAGTAAGGTATTCTTCAGACTTTCGAACATTCAAAGGGTATCCCAGGGCTTATTGTCTTATTTCCTGGATTGGTTTACAGCAGTAAATTTATCCTTTTAAAGAAGATCATTACTGTTTTGAAGCCATCTTTTCCAGGTTTTTTCATTGAATTAAGAGGATCCATTTTATTTTTTAGATTTATGTATGT